ATAAGTATTTTATATTTATTATTTATTTTATATTATTCTGCATATTATGAAATAATAAAATTATAAGTATATATATATTAAATAACTAAAAAATGAGTTACTATTATGTAATAAATTGGCGTATGCATATAAATCTAATGATCACTCTTTTTTATTCGCAATTAGGGTAAATAAATCAAAACAATCAATCTTATATATCGTATATGATGTATAATTAAATTTAAATGATATTAACATAAGATTTTATGATTATTTGCATATTTGTGTAAAAAAATTTAATCCAATGAATTTTTTTCTAATGTGAAATGTTTAGTAGTTTCAATAATTTATAGTCATTTAAAAAAAACAATGACAGATTTCAAAATTAAAATATTAACTTTTTCAATATATGTTCAATGCAAATATCAAAATATAAGTATGTATTTTCATGCGATGTGAAGTTTAATTTAAACAATATATATATTATATATTAACATAAAACCTTTTAAAATAAAATTATTTCTTCATATGGTCTTATAATCATTATACCTTAATATAGAAAAAAATTTAACCTTGATCATAAAAGCTTGTGCGAGACTTTTAACAGTTTTAGTAATTTATACTCGTTTTGAAAAATTCGAAATACAACATACATAAAAAAAATCTACATTTTTATTATATGATTAATGTAATTGTGTAAGTTATTTTAATAATAAAAAAATAAACAAAAGGATAAGAAGTTATAGATTGTTATCAAATCTTTATTGTTTAAAATCATTAATTGTCATATATATATTTTAATCACATTAGGTAATTCCGTAGCTTTTATTTAAGGAAATCTAGTGAAAAAATAAATATTTGATATGCGACCAACTATAACATGTGAAATATTATATTGTTAGAGAATATAATTATTAGACTATACTTTATGTTAGAAGCTCTAGAATCCTTCTATTTTGAAATAGAATGCATAGAGAGATGCCACATAGGATTGGGTTAGTTTTTAATTAATACAAACTCAAGGTTACATCTTTTCAAATGTTTTCCAATTAATATATAGGGATTAGACTTACAGCTACACAGTACACACGCTTTACTAGAGGTGACTAACTGATTTTATACACTAATTCATAAACTATGTATATTTTATATAAAACTAGGGGAAGTCCGCGCTATGCGCGGGATTTGATGGATCGGTTCTCAAAAAAATATATAATTTTGTGTAAATTATATTTATGTTAAGTTGGGTGTGAGTATGATTATGTTGTCTCTACCAAATTTTAATTATATAAATAAAAATGATCGAATTATTAGTATTGTTACTGTTTTAATCTCGAATTGTTACTTTTATAGTGTTTTAAGCTTTATAACACTATAAATACATAAACTAAGTGGAACCGATCAAAAGAGAATGAGATCGAGTAATCTAATACCATTATATCTTTTTTAGGGTTAAATTATGGGGAATGAGGTTTTGATTTAGAAAGACACTCTCAACGTTATTATAGTTGTTTTGCAGAATGTTTGTAACTGTTATTATTAACAATTTATTGTTGTTTTGGCATTTCTTTATTTCTTTTGTGTGGTATTTTTGTTATATTTTCTTAGATATTATGTAATTAGTCGTATTAATAAAAGGATAAAATAATAAATAAAAGAAGGCAAAAAGCGACAAATATATTATTTTAATTGCATGTGTTTTATGCTGCTAGAAGTGTATAAGGACGTTTGGTTTTCAAGAATGTTTGGACGTGGAGGGAATATATATGTTAAAATGTATTGTGTTTGTTTTGGACGGTTGTGTGCGTAATAAAAGGTTGCGGTGTTAAATATATTATAAATGTTGGATGAGGCTTACTTGGTCTTCTGGTTGTATGTTTTTATTACTTATCATTTTAAGTACCTTTTATTTCTAGTTATTATTAAAATTTAAATTATAATTTTGGAAAAAATATGTTGTTTACTCGGTTGTTTATAGAACATGTTAAATGTTTGTAGCTATTAAAAATAAGATTTTATCTGGGTACAAATTTAAGATGTTTAGAATTAAATATAGATTAAAAATTTAGATGAATGAAATCTACTTCTTTACCTTTTAAATGTACCTTTGAAAGACAACATGTCAATACTAATCTGAGAAAGTAAAATAAAACTAATAGAGGTCACATATGGATGAAAATGATTGTATTTATTTTCTAAAGTGACTAATATTCTTCACATTTATATATTTTTCTTTTAATTTTTCTATTCTATTCTATGTGTAGATTAATTATTAAATTTGAATACACATAAATCATAGGAATAGGGAAGGTGAAGATGAAGAATAACATCGAAGGTCTATCTATCAAAGAGGTCAAACACCGGTTTGGTTTTGAAATTACGGACAAATTAAATTAAATTTTGGATCTAAAATTTTAATTTTATTATGGATGATTAATAACGGAAAGAAACTAATGTTGTCATATCAATAAATTTTGATTTGAATTACCATTTCTTTAATTTCTTCATATGACATAAAGGTGAAGATGAAGAATAACATCGAACGTATAATTGAAGCACGTTTAAAAACGAAAGAAACTCACTATCCATATTAAAGCAATAAGCATGAACCCAAACTATAGAAAAATTTTGATGATTTTTTTTTTCCTATATAAATATTTTGATTAAATTTAAATTAGCATGAACCCTAAATACATCTATGAGTAATAGTAATAAAAACGATAACTAAATTATTAAAAGTTTATGAAATTTATTTGTTCATTAGGTTAATTAACAAATTGATCTGAATTTAGCATATATTAACTAAACAAAATCTCACGTTTATTAAAATTTATATATATATATATGTATATATATATATAAATGATCATTAAATATAATATAATCTTATTTTTATAATAATGTAATATTAACTTTGCTGAAATTTAAATAAAATGTAACTAAAATAGTTAAATCAAATCAAAAGAAATAAGACTACAAAAATACGTCTATAAATTTTTAAAACTATTAATAATGTTTAAATTATTTTTTTTTATTGAAACTAAAAAATGTATTATATTTAAAATTATTATTTCTGCGTGTAATGCAGGAAAACTCGTAGTATATATATATGTGTGTGTGTGATTTGACTAGTTGAATAACAAACGCATAAACTGGTGTAAACCGTTGTGGGAAAACCTGAGAAGAGTATAGTTGGACTACATATAATTACTAAAAGAATCATCATATGTATACATTGACTTAACATTATTCAGCTAAGTGATTGATTTATAACTAATTCGGATTCTTGAATCTAAAAGTTTCTTCACGTATATAGTACATGGCAGATTTTTTAGATAGCCAAACTAAAGATTCACCTTAGCCCCTAAGTTTTATATATAATCCGACCTCCAAACTCTCCAAAATATATATGTGGATCATCCGGTTTTTAATTGTCCTTGTTTTAAACCAACAAATCTCAAGTCAGTCTTACCTATATATGACTATATGTTTATTTAAATTTTGTACCATCGTATTCAGATTTATATGTAAACACATATTGCAGACACAAGTTTCTTCTCTACAACTACAAACTAAAGAATTCCGATCAATATCATCCCCTGAGAGGTAAAACGGAAAAAAATCTCATTTCAAGGAGATGATTACCCGTTTCCATAGCTGAAAGGCCTCTATCTCTTAGTGTTTTGTTATAAAGATTCGTAACGAACATGCCGAACTGTGCTTCATACATCAAGAGAACAAAAGGTGGCAAAGTACATTGTTAAAGGGCATGACGGCATCTGATGTCACTTAGAGGGGTTCAAGCTTCTTGAACTAATTAAGAGATTACAAAGAAGAAGAAGCTGGTAACACCGTGATCCACCTCAGACGTCTTACTTGGATAGGAAGAAAATGCAGTGTTCATACGACCAAACACATTTCGTTTTTTCTTTAAATATTCCTATGATGTATAGAGACAACTGAAACTCCAGACTATAAGAGATTTCAAGAAACAAAACACATTAAATATAAAAATTATCCAGACATCATCATTTCTTTCTCTACACAAAAGGGTTAATAACTAAACTAAGATAGTCTTTTTTTTTGCGCAACTAAGAGAGAGTCTAAAAGCCGTAGAGAGAAGTTTCCTAAAACAAACGAAACATAAACCCGACCATACCTATTGACATTCGATGATAACCCTGACAATGCTCCTTCAGAGCAAACAAAACAGTGGGGGACATTCTCACGCAGACGTTCTGGTTAAGAGCGACATGGCCTTCCTGAAACCCAGAGACGGGAGTTCTAATCCCGGGACATGCTTCCCTTCTGGTCCCATCCAGAGACCACCATTATGAGGAGGCATTAGTAACGGGGACTGCTCTTGCGACGTTTCTTGCAATCTTGGAACTGATTTTCCCGAGTTTTGGAGATTTGGGTCTTGTTGGTGGTATCTACAAAGAACAATGAGAATTAATACTTCATAGATCATGGTTGAGAAGACAGCACAAATACCTTATTTAACACTGTTTTAGGCGGCTAAAAGAAGCTAGGTATGGGTGTAGATTTGAAATTTAAGCTCTTTCTTAGCTTCCAAAACTCAGCTTCTTGTGTTTCCTACGACAGTACCAAAGAGTTTAAGGTCCATAACACTATGACAAAGAAGAAGTTTTAGAAGACAAACCTTGGACTTGGCTTGCATGTTATTAATCTCCTTCTTTTGCATGAGTCTTCTTCTCAAGCTTAACATAGAACTGCAGAGCATATGAAAGCAGATATAACAATTATTTTCAAAACATGTTTGTGGAGAGAGAGGACTTAAAATGCAAACCTCTCTTCTCTTTTTATCCTGTTGGTCACATTTGAAGCTGAAGCCAGGTTTGCCATCTTCTGCTTTCGGGATACTAAGAAACCATAAAATTTATAATCAACATAAATGCTAAAAAATGAGATCCCCACAAAAAAAAAAAAGAGTTGGTGGGCTTGTTTCTTTTGAGGCCTTGGTTTCACCTTGTCCCTGTATTAAAGAAAGAAACAACTTTCTAGTTACCAAAGCTCATCGTTGACTGAAAGTGGCAACACACGGTGGCTGACATGACAGTCGCCTAAAACAAATATGGAAACATAATCATCAACAAACGGTTTCATAACCTGGCAGACTTCGAATCGGGTGTGAAAACTCTGGAGTATGTATGGTAAGAGAGATATGAGCATGGTTCTCAAAGAAGAAAAGCAAACCTATATATATCCATGGCTACGCCGACTCTGAGAAGATGACGACATATCGAAGCTGAGATCGTGGGTGAGGAGTTAATAAAATGATAAATGCGATTGAGTGTGTTGCTGATGTAGTCTCGTTTCGAGTGGAGGAAAAGGAAATCAATACAGATAAAATCATCAAAACTCGACCACTAAACCCAGAACGTAACACCAATCAGAGAACATCTTATGACGAATGCTAATAAATCAAACTACAAACAAATATACGATCTCATTATTAACCAAATCTTCATAAGATCTATACATCAAATGATTTTCAAATAGATAATATAGACATCAAGCACCCAAAAACACAGTACAAAAATAAATGAATTCTCAGCACTCAATCGATTAAACGAATAGAAGAGGTTCAAAATCATCACCTGAGAATCCAAGAGGAGCATGTCCACGCCCATGAGCTCTCCACCACGGCGGAAGTTCCTGGCTTCCCAGAAGCGAAGCAGCCGGACTTGGACGGTTGAGGAGGAATGTCCGGCCTGGAGATCAGAGTGAAGAACCGTCATGTTAGCCATAGCTGAAATTTTTTAGCGTATTTAGAGATTTGAGGTGGAGTTTACGAAGGGGAAAGCTCACCCTTTTATAGGTAACATCACCGCATCGCACAATTAAGATCTAGCATTCATCATAGATATGTGCTTAATGGCAGAGTTATGAACAGCCAAGAATATGAAGAGATCGGTAACAAAGAATATGAAAAATCTCACGACTGATGAAGACGAAGCGTACAAACCCTATTAGATATCGGACACACTGATTTATTTTCGTGGGTTGATAAAATGTTTAAGGTTGTGGCCGAAACAATAGATAAACGAAGGCCCAATTCACAGAAGCTGAATTTATGACGTCATTTGCTGAGGTGGGGGAAGGAGAAGAGAGTACACCTCTTCTTTATATATAAAGATATATTAGAATATATTAAAAAATTGTTATGGACATAACCAAAATGGCACTTCTGAAGTTTCTATCACAAAAATGACACGAGGAAAAGAAAATCACAGAAATGACATTCATAAAGGATAAAATGTCTCTCATGCCTTGTGTTATAATTAATAAAAGAAATAACTAAAAAAACAAAAGACATCGAAACCTCTCTCATCTCCGGCGTCGCCTCCATCGTCTCCGGCGAAGATGACTTAGTTCACTGACGAAGAAGACGAATAGTATCGAATCGACAAACTAGAAGACACAAATCCCGTTGAAACCAATTCACGAGGTAAGTTTTTGAAATTAGGGTTTTTTATTTTAAATTTGGGGATTTTGAATTAGGGACTTTGATTTTGATTACTTTACATATTCATTTGTTGTTTGTTCAGTTTCCGTCGGAGATTGTAAAATGAGGACTTGAAAAAAAATTGAAACTTTGTTTTTGACAATTCGATCTGATTGATCACTTTCTCATGATTCAGCTAAAATATGACATGGTTTAGATTTTTTGTATATGTAATTCGATTTTCATGAAAGCTAGCTACTATGTTTTGTTGCTTGCGTGATGTGTTCAATTCAAAATGGTGAGTTAGATTTGGAATCAAAAGGTAAAGAGAGATGAAAGATTTGAATTTTAAAGACGTTTTTGAATAGAGAAGAAATATAACTAGATTTGGGAAGAAAATATAAAGTTTTGAATTCGAAAATAAACTATTTGTATCATTAGTTTCATCTTTTTGGGTCACTGGGAAATGTGTCCGGCTGTCTTACTTGTCTTTTTATTGAATCAGATTGAACTGAAAACTGCTCCTGCTGATTTATGTTTCTCTACAACGAACCAGACAAGGCATTGCTTCACTCGTTACATCGAGTTCCACAGGTACTCTTTGTTTGATTGAGTTACTTAGTTCTTCCAAGTTCTCAAGCTTTTTTTTCAATTCGTTTTGGTCTTGACTCTGTCGACATTTGCAAAATTGTTTTTTATTCTCTTATAAATGCTTTGTTAACATTTTATTGTTTTTGATCATATGAAGCTTACGTATTTGTTACAAATTTTTTTGGAGCTCAAATCTTCTCTTGACGAAAACCATCTCTAGAGCTCTATCTCTTTAAGGTATTTACTATTTCTCACTTCATGAAGGGTTTGTATTGTTTTAACAATTTTATAAAAATTTGTCTCTTTGTGATTGTGCTTGTGATGCATTTTTAGATATTCATTTGTTGTGTGTTTTCATCTATTGAATGTGTTTTCACCTACGATAAATTGAATCCCATTCGCACCAACGTGTTGCGGAATATTACGTTGACGGGGCTTCCGATATCGACCAGGATTCGGGCGACTTCTAAGTCGCTTATGACTAAGTCGATGACGATAGGATCGGCGTGTGGTTGATCGATGCCGCCGGTTTCCGTGTCATTGAAAGCGATTACTCCCTTCGGAGTGTCATCCAATGATCTGTTCCAAATCGAACCGGTTTCGGCTGTTCGTTGGTAGGACTTGATGGACGAGATGGTATCACTGTAATATTGCGATTCGCCGATGATCATACTGACCCTTCGGCGGTTAGCGTCCTTACCTTTCTTGTCTTGTCTTCATCCGCATTTCTCGCCCGGCTGGTTCCCTTGAGGCGGTGTTTCCGCTAGCGAGTTCCTGTCGTTTTTCGTGGGACGATCCGAATCGTGGATGAGGTCCTTCACGCTGGATACCTCAGAGAGTTCTCCCGCGAGCAACTTTGCGGCCAGTCTGGCGCCGAAAACTTTGCAGTTCACGGTAGAGTGCCTGCGAATCTGGTGGAGATCGCAGAAGGAATTTTTGTCGTAATTCAAATTCCTCGACCACGTGTTCCCCGTAGTTCGCCCCTGCTCTGATCCAGAATTGATGGCGTAGTTGTGCGCCCCTTAGAGATCATGTCCCTCGTGATGGACGAATTTGTCGTTACGAGGGTTTTTCTTTCTCAGCTTCTGCTCGGACGCGATGTCCTTTGCAGACGACTTTGCCGGCTTATGCTGTTCAGAAATGATTTTAGTCTCCTCTTCAATGGTTATGTAATCAGTAGCTTTGTGGAACGTGTCCTGGATCGTCCGCGGTTTCTCGAGAGTTATCCACTTTCGAAATTTTGATTTGAACCAGAGTGATTTTCTAAGCGCGTCGATGGCGGCTTTGTCGCTTATTCCGCTAACCCTAGCCATGATGAGTTTGAACTTGCTCATGAAGTCGCGAAGAGGTTCATTTTCCTTCTGGGATAAGCTCCAGAGGTCAGCGTCGGAAGTTTCCCGATTTATAAACGTCGAATATTGCTTCAGAAATTCAGAAGCAAGCTGGCGGAAACTCCCGATTGAATTATCCTTAAGCTTGGCGAACCACTTGAGCGCTGCTCCTTCTAGATTTTTGACGAAAAGACGGGAGTAACCCGCGTCTTTTTCGCCATACTTCAGCTTGGCTTGTCCAATGGTGATCTGGAAGTCCTGCAAATGCGCTTTGGATCGGTCGTCCTGTCGTAAGTCGGCACTCTGAGCTTTTCGGGATCAGGTAACTTGACCACGGTGATGTGAGCCGTAAAAGGCGTTTTCCGAGATTTGTATAGCAGCCGATCTATCTCGGGCGCAGCGTTGGTAGCATGGTGAATTTGAGACTTCATCGCTTTTTCCGCTGCAACTGTTTTAGTAATGTAGTCGCAGAGATCGCGAATCTCAGTTAGGTTGCCAGCAGTTTTCCGACCTTGTCGGCGTTTGCTGCGGGTAACTCGAGATAGTTCCTCGGCCGTTTTTGCGCATTGCACGCAGTAGAAATCCTCCTCGTCCTCAGTAAGAGAACGCTTGAGAAAGGATTCTAGCTGAGCGCTGTGATTTTTCCTCCTCCTTGGATGGACGTCCGCGTCTTCATCCGACGGATCGGATTGGTCGCTTGTTTCCAGGTTAACTTTTTCGACACCGTCTTCTTCAGTATTATTTTTGCGAGTAGGAGATTTGTCTGATTCGTTCAGCGTCGCGTCAGGGTTATCTTTTCGGAGTTTTGCTCCACTAGATTACCCTGCTCGGTTTTGGGACGATCCATAGGAGTTGCGAAATCAAGCCCCCTTCCGCAGATTTTAGTAGTTCCGCGGGGGCGAATTGCTTTGGTTTTCGCAGTTAGGGTTTTGACCTGTTTTGCGAGTGAACCAATAAGCTTTTCTTGCTCCTCCGACTTCTTGTTGAAGTCGGCGAGCATCTTCTCGATGGTCTCGGTGTTAGCGTTAACGTTAACCGCAGACACATCTGGTGGTGGTGTTTTGTCAACGTTGTCGCTTTCGACGCGAGTTTGTTGTTCACCAGACATCGTACTTCATCAAGCGTGCTACGGCTTGAGTGTAAGATAGATCCGACCCCCCCCCCCCTCCTTCTAGCGCCAAACTATGGGAACCGAAATTCACCCCTGTTGATTTCTGTAAATTAAAGAACTTAGGAAAAACCCTAATTTCCCAGACCACCCGTCTATCTGCGGAACCGCACATAAGCAATCAAGTAAACGATGAGAATAAGTAAAAAATTTTAAAACGAGATTGAGAGCAAGAAGGATCTTATTCCAATTATGCGTAAGAGTGGTACAATGAGGTAAAGCCTTGGCTACAAGAGCTGACGGCGAGTTTCCTAGGTTTATAAACTTAAGTCTAAACCCTAGTTGAGACACAGCTCGAAAACAAAAACGGAAATATTCCTAAGTGCTAAGTTTTGGTGATGAGAGTTCTGAAAATCGTCCTCTTTTCTTCTGTCCTTGGTCTTCTATTTATATACTCCCTCCTTAGGCGGTTTAATCCCCCCTTTTCGCCTAGATTCGAGTCTGTCGGAAATCTTCCATTTATCTCGATCTTTCCATTTGACTTCGGAAATCTGCTATTTATCTTTAAACTTGACATTTATCTTCAAACTTGACATTTATCTTCTTTCTGCGAGTAAATAGTCAAAACGTCATTGTATCTTTGGGCTGGACTACATCTAAAACTGTGGATAGGTTTTTATCGCGTTTTAGGACTTTCCGAGCCGTTTTGAGATAAAAACGGTTTTACGATTTTAGACGAGATCGTTTCCTGATACGATACCGTTTTTATAAGACTTCTCGAGTTAATCGTATAGTTTGACAATGTACGATGTTCCGTCTAATCGTTGATGTTTTATACGATCTTCCCGAATTCTTATGAGAAAAGAAGACTTTTACGATTTTTATCGTAAAACTCGAATGGTAAGACGGATCAAGATGAAACGAGAGACGTTTCGACCAAGGTTCAGAGCACGATCGAATCGAAGGACGTATGCCTTTCGTTGAGGATGCAGGGGAAGCGAGGCTCGGGACGTTCAGCTCGACGTACATCGAGCTGATTTGAGGTGATCAGCTTGCCGTGCGACGAGCTGGTCTGGCCGAACCAGCTCGCCCCGTGCGGTGAGCTAAACCGGCTGGTTTGGCTTGTCGCACGTCAAACTGGTTCAGTCGAACCTGCTCGTAGTGTGGCGGATGCGGTTTTTGCGTTTTTTCGCTTAATTTGGGCAATCGTGTAATCGGAGATTGTTTTCTTCTATTTTCCGAGATGACAATTCCAAGTTTCACGCGGGTTTC